CCACATACATTTCTTGTTGAAATTCATTTCTGGGATTTTTTTTTTTTTGGAGACAGCAACTTGCTATATTGCCCAGGCTAGTCTTGAACTCCTGGGCCCAAGTGATCCTTTAGCCTTAGCTTCCCGAGTAGCTGGGATTCTAGGCAGAGGCCACTATCTTGGCTTCTTGTAAGGTAGGGGTGTCTAACTCAGGGCCCACAGCCCAGGATGGCTATGATGTGACCCAACACAAAATTATAACATTAATTAAAACATTACTAAATTTTATGGTAGAAGTCACTTGCATGGTTCTTGAGAGTGAACTCTGTAGACAATGTGTTGTAATGTCATGTAAAATAAACATGTATGCTCTATTTGTACACATGCATCGCTTCCAGTGTGTTATCTTCCAAGCATGGACAGTTGAATTAACATCATCAGACATTACACGTGCTCGTGATGACTTGGTGAGGCAGCGATCATCAATAATGCTTCAGCCTAACATTGCAGTGTTAGGCATTTAATGTCATTTAGAAGTCACATAAGCATTTTTATTTGATTATTAAGGGTACTTACTTCCACACCTTCGTGGAGCCTCACACATTACCCACCATGCTTTACAACTGACCCTCTGCCTCGCCCTGGATTAGTAGCCAAGATGTGGAAGGGCCCAAACCTTGCTTTTTATTTTCCTGTCAATTAATTTTTCTTTTTCTTTTTCTTTTTTTTTCCAGAGACAGAGTCTCACTTTATCGCGCTCAGTAGAGCGTGGTGGTGTCACAGCTCACAGCAACCTCCAACTCCTGGGTTTAGGCGATTCTCTTGCCTCAGCCTCCTGAGTAGCTGGGACTACTGGCACCTGCTAGAATGCCTGGCTATTTTTTTGTTGTTGCAGTTTGGCCAGGGCCAGGTTTGAACCTGCCACCCTCAGTATATGGGGCCAGTGCCCTACCCACTGAGCCATAGGCGCTGCCCATGTCAATTAATTTTTCAATTAATTTTCATAATAAAAGTAAATATCCTATATCTATTACTATTATTTTTATCCCAACATGGCTTCTACAATGTCTCAAAAGAAAACAGAATCCAAAGAAAGAAAAATTATGGACCAAAGAAAATTACTGTTCAATGAAAAGTCGACAGATGACTACTTTTTTGTCAAAGCAAATATAAAGCATTTTGCTTAATTTGTAGGGAATTTGTGCAAGTTTTGAAAGACTATAATTTGAAAAGGCATTATATGCAAAAAGATGCTCCCAAATTTGATGTGTATGAAGAATGGTGTCATTAGCACAAAACAGTGGAGCTGAAAAAAAGTCTGTCTTCTCAATATTTTTTTTTTAAGAAGTTATAACTCAGATAGATTCCATTTAAAAGCTAGTTATGTGGTAGCATTCTTAACAGCAAGAAAATCAAAACCATTTACTGATGGTGAATTTATTAAGCAATGTATGGAAAACATGGCAGATATAATTTGCTCTGAAAAACTGGGATATTTCTTTTTTTTTTTT